ATTCCTGCTCTGCCCACCTCCCTAAAATAGAACATACACCTAAATTATCAGCACCTTCACTTCCCAGCTGTAAAAGCCCTTGACCTAGGAATGTGTGCTTCTACAACCACTGCTGTTGGTCCCAGTGCTTAGTACTGCATTGAACAAAGCTCATGCCCAGAAGGTACCCTGGAAAGATTTTCATTCCTGGACCATTGGTGATACATTCAGCATTCGCTCAGAAAATTTAGTGTGATCCCACTCTGTGTTAGACAAGGTCCTGTGGAACCTTTCAGTCTATTGGGTAGAAGTAGACAATTCCAAATAAATAGGGCCCAAGGCATAGTATCTTGGGTTACCTGAGAAAAGTAAGTTGAATGTCCTATGGGAAAGTTAAAGGGATGATTTATTTTCAGTGGAGGGAATGAAAAGGCTTCTTGGAAGAAGTGATGTTTTGTGTGAGATTGAAGTTAATTAAGAGAATGATTTTAATAAGCACAGAAGGCAGAAGGATCCTTCGGGGCAGAATTGCTGGTTATCTCTAATACATACAAGGATGTCACTGATCAGCTTCCATGATTCTTCTTTGAAGGCTATTTTGTTTGTTTTTAATTTCCCACCTCATCTGCAGTATGATGATGAGCCACAACACAGAAAGACACATTCATGTGTAAAGAAACAAGGAGGTTTAAAAGGAAGGTTAGGAACACGTTTCGATATGGTGAGAATTTTTGTGGAGGGTTTGCAGTTTCTTCCTTGCCTTTATCATTACTCTGATAAGCAAAAGAGCCATTTGATGATATTGCCTCCCTAGGATAAGATTTTTTTCTTTTTCTTAAAAAATGTTCCAGTATTTGTCACTGAGAAAGTTTTCAAATACCATAGTCTTCCTTTCTAAGGAAGAAAATGGAAAATATTTTGAAAAATATTAAGGGAGAGAGGAAGTTGAATTTCAGGGATTATTCAAACAGAACCTTCTACAATTTTACTTTTAATTTACTTATCTGATACTCATTGAGCAGTAAAAAGTGATAACAGCTTTTTATGCACTATGAGTGAGTTTTGACAATTGTATATACTCATGTAATGCCCGTAATCAAGATACAGAACATTTCCATTACTCCAAAAAGTAATGCTCATTTGGAACTCCCCTCACCTCCCATACTACAACCCCATCATCAGGCAACCATTCGTGCTTTTTGTTACTAAAGATTAGTTCATCTTTTCTAGAATTTCATGTAAAAGGAATCATACAGCATATATTCTTTTGTGCTTGACTTTCATTTGGCATAATGTTTTTGAGATTCACCCATGGGTTTTTGCTACATCATAGATATTTATTGTTAAGTAGCATTTCATTGTAAGGCTATATCACAATTTGTTTAACCATTTATCTGTTGATGGACATTTGGGATTTTTCCAGTTTTGGGCTATAATGCTACGTACATTTGTGTACAAGTTTTTGGATGAATGTATTTTTCATTTTGGGAGGGTATATAAAAGAGTAGAATTCCTGGGTTGTATGGTAAATGTATGTTCAACTGTATCAGGAACTGCCAGGCTATTTTCCAAAGTGGTATGTACCGTGTATAGCAGCAGTGTGTGGGAGTTTTAGTTGCTCTAAATCCTTCCTACACCAAAGTTGGTATTTCAGTCTAGCTAAAATTGAGAATTCCAGTAGATATTTAGTGGTATCTCATTGTGGCTTAAATTTGTGTTTCCCTGATACTAATGATGTTGAGCACTATTTCATGTGCTTATTGCCCAGTTGTGTAACTTCTTTTTTGAAGTGTCTGTTCAGATCGTTTACTTAATTAATTTATTAATTTATCGTGTTGTTCACTCTATTATTGAGTTGTAGGAGTTCTTGATGTAATTTGAATACAAGTCCTTTGTCAGATATTTTCTCCCAGTTTGTGGGCTTAACAGTTGTCTTTCAAAAAGCAGAAGCTTTAAATTTTGATGAAGTCCAGTTTACCAGTTTTTTTTTTTTTATGCTTCTTGATTTTTGTGTCTGAGAAATTGTTCCCTGGATTTTCTCCCAAGTTTGCTTTTAGAATGGGGATCTTCAAACATATTCTTAAAGGACCAGATCATAAATATTTTAGGCTTACAGGCTACAGCACCTCAACCACTCAACTCTGCTGTTGTAGGGCAAAAACAGTTATTGACAGTACATAAACAGTTGGGCGTGGCTGTGTCCCCCCATAACTTTTATTTATAAAAACAAGCAGCTGCCTCCTCCAACTCCAGTATTTAAAAGACTGATAGTTTTAGGTTGTATGTTTAGGTCTTTGACACATGTTGAATTAATTTTAGGGTATGCTCTGAAGTAAGGATCAAGGATCATTTTTTTTCTCATATGGTTATCAAGTTATTTCAGCACCATTTATTGAAAAGACCATCTTTCCCCCTGTTGAATTACTTTAGCAGCTTTTGAAAATCAACTGATTATATTTGTGGGTCTGTTTCTAGACTCTATTCTATTCCGTTGATCTATGTCTATCTCTATACCAATATCACACTGTCTTGACAACTGTAGCTCTATAGTAAATCTTAAAATCAGGCATTGTGAATCTTCCAAATTTGTTCTTTTTTCAAAAATTTTTTGGCTGTTCAGATTTTTTACATATTTATATACATTTTAGACTCAGCCTATCAATTTCTATAAAAAAGCCAGGAGGGATTTTGTTTGGGATTGCTCGAACCTATAGGTCAATTTAAGAGAAATTAAAGTCTTAACAGTATTGAGTCTTCCAATCCATGAACATGGCATACTTATTGATTTATCCATTTCTTTAATTTCTTGCCATTAGTGTTTTGTAGTTTTAAATTTAGGATCTTGCACATGTTTTGTCTAATTTATTCCTAAAAATATCTTGTTTTTTGATGTTATTATAAATGGTATTGGTTTCTAAAATGTCACTGTCCAATTGTTTGTTGCTAGTATGTAGAAGTAAAATTGATTATGGTAATCTGTGGCCTTGCTATATTCATTTATTAGTTGTAGTACCTTATTTATAGGTTCCTTAGGAGTTTTGAGGTGCACAAACGTGTCAACTTGTAATAAAGTGTTTCACTTCCTCCTTTTCAATCTGAGTGTATTTTATTTCTTGTTCTATTGTACTGGCTAAGACCTTCAGTAACAATATTGATCCTGATCTTAAGGGGAAAACATAGTCTTTCATTATTGACTATGATGTTAGCTGTAGATTTTTGTAGCTGTCTCTTATCAG